GGGCCAATTGCAGGAGACGGTGAGTTCTAGTTCCACCTTAGGCACAAAAGATGGCCAAGTGACTTTGGGCCAATCCCTAGGAGACTGTGAGTTCTAGTCATGCCTTAGACATGAAAACCAACTGGGCAACTCTGGGCCAATCACCAGGTGACGGTGAGTTCTAGTGCTACCTTAGGCAGGAAAGTCAGCTTTGTGACTTTGGGCTAGGATTGTTGTTTGTGGGGAAAATAGGAGGTATGTTGGATATGCTCACTGGCTTGAGCTATTTCCAAAAATAATGAAGGTGAAATATAAATAAATATATTTATCTGGTGTCATAGATCAACAATCTATCTTCTTCTCAAAGCCTGTTTTTTTAAATTCTAACGCCATGTAAATTTCATCCCATTCTTCACCTCAGGAGGCCAAATACCGCATCCCCTTATTTGTTTGAAAAAATATGTTTGGCCCACGCAATGAAGCAGTGATATATTTCCCTCACAAAACCAATAACTTGGATGAACAAAATCACCTTCCTTGTTCCTGACTGAACCCTTTCAAAATGGCCGGAGGGCCCTCCAGAATTTCAAATGTCCGCCGGTTGCCGGGAGCCCCTGCTTGGCGGCAGAAATGGATTGGGAATATTACGATAGGCATTTATTACTGCCAGAGGCCAGCCATGAAACCCAAACCTACGGCCATTTGTCTTGTTTACTTAAAATATTTATAGGCCTGGCTCCCCACCGTATGCCATTTACATTAAACATAAAGCGGAGGGCTAAATCTTGCCAATCAGGAACTTCTCTCCTGTCGTAAACGCTTGACGCTTTATGATAGCAAGAAGACATAATTGGGTTACTTCCCGAGAAGAGAGAAAATACGATATTCCTTCAGCCCTGTGAGCATTTTTAACAAAACGAGCATGGGGTGAGACAGAGATCTCCCTAAAAGAGGCAAAGAACATCATGTATTTGCATGGCCAAAACAGATTTAAGGCACCAAATAGGTTGTGGCATTTTGTCTTTCAACTAGCAAGGAAAAGGAAGATTTACAATATGATTTTTGTGCCCTGTTTTGTTTTGTTTTTCCCCTTCAGATGCTTGACCATAACCACATCGGTTTCCTTTGATGTTTAATCCCCCCTTTTTTTTTGCCCCTTGATGGAAAATCCTTTGGGGCACATTTGTATAACAGAATAACAGAATTGGAAGGGACCTTAGAGGTCTTCTAGTCCAACCCCCTGCTGAAGCAGGAGACCCTAGACCATGTCAATCAGTCAATCAATCAGAATAGAGTTGGAAGGGACCTTGGAGGTTTTCTAGTCCAACCCCCTGCTCAAGCAGGAGACCCTAGACCATTTCAATCAATCAATCAGAATAGAGCTGGAAGAGACCTTAAGAGGTCTTCTAGTCCAACCCCCTGCTCAAGCAGGAGACCCTGCTTCTCTCCTTGATAAAATAACATAGGAACAGAGTTGGAAGGGACCTTGGAGGTCTTCTAGTCCAACCCCTGGTCAAGCAGGAGCACTAGATCATTTCAGACAAATGGCTGTACCATCTCTTCTTAAAAACCTGCAGTGTCGGAGCACCCATCTTGTTCCACTGGTTAATTGTTTTAACTGTCAGGAAATTTTCTCCTTCTCCTTCTTCTCCTTAACTTCTGAAACGGAAACAACTTAAATTAAGGCCAACGTAAATTTAGGGCAGAGGCTAGAAATCATGGGGTCTATTAATTTGAAAAAGCATTCTTTGGAAGCTACCTCCAGAGGTTCTTTTCTCTCAAGCCTTTAAGGCCCAATTAAGCAGCAATTAATTGACTTGGTTATAGGAAGTTGCTTGGTTGCAATCTAAAAAAAGAAGGCATACTTTTTTTAAGGCTTTTTCTTTTTCTCTCTCTCTCTCTCTTTTTTTTTTTTTTTTTTGGTTCAGCCTTCCTTGTCAGTCTTCTCTACTTTCAAAACAGACTTCTTGCCCGGAGGCTGCCTTATTTTGATCCTCCAGTTCTTCTGCTTCTTCACCCCCAGTTCTCCCTCATGGCCTTATTTTCGACTGCTCAAAATTCTTCTATACTTAAAGCTGTTGCTTCCTCGTATAAACATATCCTAAAGCTATAAAACTCATCTCCGCATTTATGTTGGTGCTAGCTTTGCATAACACTGTCCAGATGCTATGTTGATGGTCCCAGGCGCGTGCATATCTATCTGTCTCTCTCTCTGTCTGTCTGTCTGTCTATCATTTGTTTATCATCTATCTATCTATCTATCTATCTATCTATCTATCTATCTATCTATCTATCTATCTATCTATCTATCTATCTATCTATCTATCTATCTATCTATCTATCATCTCCCTGTCTGTCTGTCTGTCTGTCTGTCTGTCTGTCTGTCTGTCTGTATCTATCTATCTATCTATCTATCTATCTATCTATCTATCTATCTATCTATCTATCTATCTATCTATCTATCTATCTATCTATCTATCATCTCTCTATATCTATCTTCTGTCTATCTATATCAATCATTTATCATCTACCATCTGTCTATGATCTATCTATCTATCATCTATCTATATCTATCACTATCTATCTATCTATCTATCTCATCTGTCTATCTGTCTATATCATTTATCATCTACCATTTGTCTATAATCTTTCTATCTGTGTCTATATCATTTATTATCTATCTATCTATCTATCTATCTATCTATCTATCTATCTATCTATCTATCTATCATCTGTCTGTCTATCTGTCCATCTGCTATCTATCTATCTATCTATCTATCTATCTATCTATCTATCTATCTATCTATCTATCTATCTATCTATCTATCTATCTATCTATCTATCTATCTATCTATCTATCTATCTATCTATCTATCTATCTATCTATCTATCTATCCAGAGAACACCCTAGCAACTAGACATTTGTTTTTGTAAAATCCTTCTTTGTTCAGTTTCATATAGACTCAATGGTAGGGCCAGTTCCAATTTTTTTTTTTAACTCCTGGTGTTTCTTGGCATCCTCCATGCTCCACCAAAACAGCAAGAACAGTCTCCTGTCTTTGGGCTGCTGAACCTCTGCTAGTCATGGTCTTCATGCTGTCTGCCCACACTTGCCTACAGGGCCTTTGTGTCTGCGACTTTGAAAGATGAAACGGTTTTCTGTGACTAACAAATGACTTGGGGGAGAAGGGATCTGCCCACCTAGTGCATCAACTCCTACTCAACTTTGTTCTAAAATGCTGGTTGATTTTCATCCTTTGTAGCGATGAGGATCTATCACGCCTTTTGTTGTGGTGGCGTGTGAGAAATGTGCAGTCTAGCCTTGGATGGAGATAAAAAGAGAGATGGTTCCCTTGGAATTTAGGAAATTGCACTTTTGTGATTTGGTATGTTGAGCTTCCTTTGTCGATTAAAAAAGATAGGTTAATACGCCATAAAAGTTTGGGACGAGGCAGGCTACCGATGAGAGCTGAATTCTTGGGAAAGTATGAAAGAACTGCATTTCTTTAGAAAGTTGCTTCCTTTTTCTTTTTCCCATGGGTTGGATTTGAGTCCTCCCAACAGAACAGGTCAAGGTAACATAAGGGAAGAGAGGCACACTCATACGGAAGTCTGGTTCATCCTGAAGAGAACTCACCCTTTATCTTCTGCAGATCATCAAAATAGCAATAGCACTTATATACTGCTTCATAGTGCTTTACAGCCTTCTCTAAGCAGTTTACAGGGTCAGCATTATTTGTATATTGCCCCCAACAATCTGGGTCTTCATTTTTACTGGCCTCGGAAGGAATGGAAGGCTGAGTCCGTCTTGAGCCGGTCAGGATCAAACTCCTGGCTGTGGGCAGAATCAGCCTGCAATACTCCATTTTAACCACTGCACCACCATGGCTCAAGTTAGCTAGATAACAGGACAGAGACTTTATGGGTGGCCAGAAAGATCAGAAACTCAACAGGCTTCCAAAATAAAACCAAGGCCTCCAAGAAAGGGACAAATATTTGAATAAGAACTTTCAAGGGCAGGGCATAATGGGTCTTTGACACCAACAGTTGCTTTGAACTCAACATTCTGTGTTGAGTATCTATAAAAATTCTCAGTCATTCAAATCACTGTTGTCCCAAAGGTACAAAGAAAGTCCAGCTGCTTTTTGAAGAGCACCTTTAGGACATCCTGTGTCATCTCTCAATCTCCTTCCTCAGTTATTGCCAAGATCTACTGATTCATCCTTCTGACTTCAGTGAGACGAGCAGAAAGGAATCCTCAATCTCTTTCTGTCAATCTCCTAGAATCCCTGAATTATACATAACCGCTCATAACAGATGAATTGATAGCCGGGATTCTGTTCTGTTCCCCAAGCCCTTTTCCGTCACTGTACTTAAGAGACAGATGGAATTATTATTTCCACATACTCTGATCTGGCAATCTTTGCTTGAAAACTGGAATAAAACGATCAGACCCTTTTTACTGGATTTCCTTTGAATCAAAATGTAACGCGGGAGAGGTTTGTGTCTGCATTTAAGTCCTTCTGCTTTCGGTTGATAAGATGTCACTCTGAAAGATATGAAACCTTTCATTTGTAACAGGGCTTGGTAACATGGGGTCATCAGCAGCTTGGACTACAAATCCAGTCAACTGTCTCAGGGGTGGTCACGCCAGCTAATACTGATGGGCTTTTAGTTATATTCTGAAGGTGGATGGACTGATGCAAAACCCTGAACCTTTTCATATGTCGTATGTCTTTGAGAAGAGCCAATTTGATGTAGTGCTTGTGACATCAGGCTAAAGACCAGGAGACAATGAGTTCTAGTCCCACCTTAATTGGTTGATCTTGGGCCAGTCCCTTTCTCTCAGCCCTAGGAAAGAAGGAATGGCCAACTGTCAAAACTTTGCCAAGAAAACTACAGGGCGCTTTTCAAGGCAACCTCCAAGAATTGGACACCTCTCAATGGAGGGGTAGGAGGAACAGTTTTGGTTTTTTTTTAGTTTTTGACTTGTTTCTTGTTTGTTTGTTTCTCTTCTCCAGGTTCCCTCAAAAGCCCGGTGAACAAGACAGCCCTTACCTTAATTGCTGTGAGTTCTTGCATCCTGGCCATGGTCTGTGGCACCCAGATCTCCTGTCCACTCACGGTCAAAGTCACCCTTCATGTTCCTGAGCACTTCATTGCTGATGGTAAGAACCTGTCAATGCTGCAAATACTGTATATTCTTGCTTTGACAATGTGCAGAACTGTCTGGTATATATATAGTTAAACCAGCAACTGGGAAAGAGGGAGGAGCATAAGGATAGCCCGGGAGAAAGAAACCGGAAGTAAATCACATCTTCCAAGTTGATTGGAAGATGTGAACCATGACCCTACAATAAGGGAGTGGAAAATGC